AATGACTTCCACCTCCTCCTCCTCCACCATTTAATCCTTCTTTGCCGTATTTGTCATAGATGTCCCGCTTTTTTGCATCTGATAACACCTCATATGCCTCAGCTACTTGTTTGAATTTCCGCTCTGCCTCTTCTTTATTTTCAGGATTTTTGTCGGGATGCCATTTAAGTGCCTGTTTCCGATACGCCTTTTTAATGTCCTCAGGTGAGGCATGTCTCTGCACGCCCAGAACTTCATAGTAATCCACCATGTTTTAACAGATTGTTGGAACAAACCGAGGACGCGGCGGCCGGCGAGGGGGGGAAGTCGGGCGGCCGGTCTCCTCGCGGCTCCGGCACAGCTGCGCTGGCGGCGGTGGCGGCGTCTCCTCGCGCTTTCCTTTCTCCGCCTCTCTGCTTTTTTATTGATTTGGATAAAGGTTTCTCTATCTTGTATACTTTCGGGAAGAACCAACTCTTTATTTCATTGATTATTTGTACTGTTTTCTTTGTTTCTACTTTACTGATTTCAACTCTTAATTTGATTATTTCCTGGGATTTACTCTTCTGGGGTGAGTTTGCTTCTTTTTGTTCTAGAACTTTCAGTTGTGCTGTTAATTCTCTATTGTGACTATTCTCCAGTTTCTTCATGTGGGCACTTAGTGCCATGAACTTTCCTCTTAGCACTGCTTTCAAAGTATCCCATAAGTTTGGGTATGTTGTATCTTGTTCTCATTGCATTCTAGGAAGTCTTTAATTTCCTTTTTTAATTTCTTCCTTGACCCAAGAATGGTGCAATTGTACGTTGTTCAATTTCCATGAGTTTGTATGGTTCCTGCAATTTGTGTTGAATCCTAACTTTAAACAGTGATGATCTGATTGGATACAGGGGGTAATTTCATTTTTTTGTATCTGTTGAGGTTTTCTATGTTGCATATGGTAGATTTTAGAGAAGGTTCCATATGGCACTGAGAAGAAGGTATATTCTTTTGTGTTTGTATTGAATGTTCTATAGATATCTGTTAGTCATAATTGGGTCATAACTCCTGTTAGTTCCTTTGTTTCTTTGTTAAGTTTCTGCCTGGTGGTCCTGTCTAGTGTTGAGAGTAGGGTGTTGAAGTCTCCCACAATATGTGACTGGGGCTTTATGTATGATTTTAGTTTTAGTAATGTTTCTTTTATGAATGTGGGTGCCTTTGTATTTGGGGCATAGATGTTCATATTTGAGACTTCATCTTGATGGACTTTTCCTGTGGTAAATATAAAATGACCTTCTTCATCTCTTTTGATTGATTTTAGTTTGAAATCTAATTTGTTAGATATTAGGATTGTTACACCAACTTGTTTCTTGGGTCTATTCAATTGGAAAATCTTTTCCCAAACCTTTACTCTGAGGTAACATCTGTCTTTGGCATTGAGATGTGCTTTTCTTCTATGAAGCAGAAGGATAGATTCTGTATTTGTATCCATTCTGTTATCCTGTGTCTTTTATAGGCAAGTTAAGACCATTGACATTGAGGGATATTAATGACCATTAATTGCTGCATCTTGTTTGTTTTGGGTTTGATGGTGGTATTGTATATGGATTCCCACCCCACCCCCTTTTTTTCTTATTGTGTTTGGTAAAGTGGGATTATCTATTATCTATGTTTTTGTGAATGTAGTTATCTTTCTTGGGTTGGAGTTTTCCTTCCAGTACTTTCTGTAGTGCTGGATTTGTGGATATGTATTTTTTAAATCTGGTTTTGTCATGGAATATTTTGCTTTCTCCATCTATAGTGATTGAAAACTTTGCTGAGTATAGTAGTTTGGGCTGGCATCCACGTTCCCTTAGTGTTTATAGACTGTCTGTCTAGGACATTCTGTCTTTTAGAGTTTCCATGGAGAAGACTGGTGTAATTCTGATATGTCTGCTTTTATATGTTACTTGGCCTTCTTCCTTTGCTACTATTAATATTTTTCTTTATTCTGTAAGTTTGGTGTCTGACTACTACATAACAAGGGGACTTTTTTGTGATCCACTCTACTTGATGTTCTATAAGATTCTTGTACTATCATTAGTATGTCTTTCTTTAGGTTGGGAAAGTTTCTTCTGTGATTTTGTTGAATATATTTTTATACCCTTGAGCTGTATTTCTTCACCTGTTATTCTTAGGGCTGGCCTTTCCATGGTGTCCCATACTTCCTGGACATTTTATGTTAGGAATTTTTTAGACTTGAGATTTTCTTTGGTTAGTGACTGCATTTCCTCTAGTGAGTTTTCAACGCCTGAGATTCCCTTTTCTATCTCTTGTATTCTATTGGTTATACTTACATCTGTATTTCCTGATCATTTACCTAACATTTCTAATTCCTTCATCCCCTCATTCTCTGTTTTCTTTATTGTTTCTATTTCAGATTTCAAGCCTCGAACTGTTTAAATTGTTTCCTTCACTTGTTTCACTGATTTTTATCTTGGCTTTCTTTGAATTCTTTAAGGGATTTGTTTTTTTCTTGAAATTTTTGGTTTGTCTTTTCCTCCATTTCCTGAATTTTTGGTTGCTTTTTCTTCCATTTCTTTAAAGGATTTTCTAAATCCTCTTTGAGGGACTCTAATATTTTCATAAATTTGTTTTTAAGGTCCTTGTCTTCTGCTTCTTCTATGTTGGGATGTTCAGTTCTTGGTGGTGTAGAGTCCTTAGATTCTGGTGGTGTCATATTTTTGGTCTTTCTGGTTTTGAGTGTGATCTTATACTGCTGTCTTCCCATCCCTTCTTCAAGTAGGCGCAGGTGGGGGCTCTCCCTCTCCTCTTATCTCCCTGTGGAGTAGATAGGCCAAGACTCAAGTGGAGGACAGAAGACAGAAGGGGAGCCAAGACTGAGGTGTGGCCAGACTCAGGGTGATCTGTTCTGCGGAGGTAGGTCCACTATATGTGGAACAGTCCCAGGAAGTTCCAAGGGGGTTATGGAGGGAGTTGGGCTCTGAGCAGAGCCCACACTCACCTTAAGCACAGGACAGAAGCTAAGGGGCAAGACTGAGGTGTGGACAGACTCTGGGTGGTCAGGCTTGCAGGGGCAGGTCTACTCAAGCAGAGGCTGGAGAGTGTAGGGGCTCCAAGACTGAGGTGTGGACATACTCAGGGTGGTCAGTCCTGCCTTGGTGGGTCCACTACACATGGATCAGGTCCAGGAAGTTCTAGGGGGAATCTCAGGAGTTTTGCCCTGAATAGAGCCCACACTCACCTTAAGCAGTAAGCAGAGGGTGGAAGGGGGGCCAAGACTGAGGTGTGGTCAGGATGTGGGTGGTCTGCCCTTACAGGGTGGCTTCACTGAAGCAGAGGGCCTGTACGGAACATCTTATGCAGATTTTTGGTGCTTGATTCAGTTATGCTTGTACCAGTATTAGTTTGTGCTTTGATTGTCCGTCCTGAACATGATAACAGCACTGTCCCCAGAAACCATAGGAAGAGAGGAAAGATGAGGTCTATATAGTTGCACTGCTTCAGGCTGAAAAAAAATATGAAATATGAACAGAATATAACTGTGTTAGTGTTCACTATTGCCAATCTATGGAAGAGAAAAAGGCTTCATTCATTACAATACCTAGATACATCTGTTTCCCATTCATAAGGAATTCAAAAAATAACGTAGTAGCATATTACTCCATAGAAATTATTGAGATGATAATGGAAATAAATGGCAAACAATGTAACTATGGAAAAATTATGAATATTTGCATTATAATTAGGCATGGGAATGATTTAAGACCCATAGAAAGCTTGGGAACAAATGCCTGCCATCTGCCTGACCATTTCCACCCCTGGGCATGTATTCAGGAAAACTGAAGTCTGAAAGCAGTGTGAAAGTTTGTACACTATGGTTCACATTGACATTGTTCAGAATAGACAAAGAAGGGAAATGTGCTCAATGTGAATCCATAGATGAACAGAAAAAGAAATCTGAAAATAAACCACACAATGAATTATAGGAATACCACTATAAACTTATACCTTGCTTAATAACAAGAATAAACTCTGTGTAATGCATCATGAGACAACTTTGTTATTGTGTAAATACCACAAAGGACATATTTATAACCCTAGATTATGAAGCTCTCTACCTACCCAGACCTTTGTTATAAGCCATTGTTCCTAGGCAAGAAACATATACACAAAATAAACATATTGGATATTGGACTCAGAAATAGCAAAATGGTAGGTAATTACAGATTTAAGCATGTCTAAACAATCAATTGATACAGTAAAATTACAGTATAAAAGGAAAAATATAGTACACTTAATAGAGTGTACATGTTGTAAATAGAGATTGTAGACTAAAAATTACTCCGAGGAAATCAGTGAACAACAGAATTACTCCGAGGAAATCAGTGAACAACAGAAGACTGAAAGTGAAAGTTACTGCCAGAGTCACTTCAAAGTCAAATTCATGTTTGATGCATCACCTATCCCTGAGTTTAAAATTACAACAGAAAATAACCTGCAAATCTGGGATTCTCCACTGAAGATACACATCATCTTACATCTGGTTCATCATGCATCACTGACTGACCTGCTTCAGCAACAAATGTGAGTCACAGGCTTAGAATGTGAACACCTGTCTACCATGTGCGCATTTCATGTTCTCTTTACTACCTTCAGCCAAAGTCTTCAAAGTCTTCATACTTCATGAGATTGATCCAATTTTGCCCTACCCTTTATTCATTCCACTTCTTCTCAATAAGTCAGATGATTTGATGCTGTCCAAACTTCACAATTTTCCTTGTATTTTATCATATTGTGACTGATATTGTCCTAAACCTTTGGAAACTAGGCTTTTTCTTTTAAACAAGTTGATTGAAGTTGCTCACATTTGGCAATGTGAAAACCAAGGGTAGACAGAATTTTCTGCTTTTGATGGGGAAAGGACAGGAGAATCCAGTGCACTTCAAAGACAGCTTCATCTGAGTAATGATATCAGCAGATAGAGTCTCCAAGAGGGGCAGCTGGGGCAGCTCAGGCTCACACTTCTGCTTTGCTCAATGGTTTATGTTATGAGTTGTTCCACTGTGGGTGGGTAATCATAGTGCTGTTGGCAGTAATACATTCCAATATCTTCTGGCTCCAAAGTGCTGATGGTGAGGGTAAAATCTGTCCCAGACCCACTGCCACTGAACCTCGATGGGACCCCAGTATACAAATTAGACGCAGCATAGATCAGGAGCTTAGGAGATTTTCCTGGTTTTTGCTGATACCAGTTTAATGAAGTGCCAATGCTCTGACTCGCTTGACACCTGATGGTGACTGGGTCTTTTAGTGATACAGTCTGAGATGGAGACTGGGTCAACTGGATATCACATCTGGAACCTGGAATTAAGAGGGGAAGAAAGAACAAAACTATATAATTCTGCCTCAAAGTCAATCATAGAGTTCCCTGAGAGCCAGGCAGCACTGAGCACACAGAGAAGCACTGCTGTCCTCCATACCTGGGATCCAGAGCAGCAGCAGCCCCAGGAGATGAGCAGGAGCCCTCATGTCTGTGCTGTGTCCTGACTGGAACTGACTCCTGCACAGGGTGTGACCAGCCTATTAAAAAGTCCTCTGGATAGGAGTGTGTTTTCTGGTTACATGCAAATCAGCAGAGACTAGAAGACAAGGTCACAGCTGAAAGGCTGTCTCAACTCAGGAAAAAAGATAAAAGTATGTGAATAAATAATACATGTAACACTCTACTAAATATAACCTTCCCAGTAGGGAACAGACATAAGAACATATGCCACTGCCAACTTATTGTCTTCTAATAAATGGTGTCCATCCTCCTTTACTTAATACTCTTTCATTCTCCTTTCCTATAAGAGACTCAGCATAAGGGGATTCTATCTTTTTTTAATATTTTAATTATTTATTATGTATACAATCTTCTGCATGCCAGCAGAAGGTACCAAATCTCATTCAAAGTGGTTGTGAGCCACCATGTTGTTGCTGGGAATTGAACTCAGGACTTCTGGAAGAACAGTCAGTGCTCTTAACTGCTGAGCCATCTCTCCAGCCCCAGGGGATTCTGTCTTTAGACCTGAAAATGTATAAGCTACTTTCTAGCTCTGTGGCCATGCTGAATGTCCTGTCCTAGTGGGTTATGACCTCTTTTGAGGCTGTTTATGACTCTTCCTGCAAACCACAGCGCCTTCTCCTCAGAAGCTGATGTGCTCTCAGCAAGAGTTCGGCTATGCAAGAATATATGCTGTTCAAAAAAGCAGCACATCTCTTTGTGGTCCCCTTTGTGGCTTCTGTTCTTAATAAAACCTGTTATAAATGCATAGTTAAAGTGTGACATCCCCCAACAGTCCCCAGTGATAAAACACAATGATATAAAGCAGAGGGAACCCTGAGTTAGTGAAGTCCTCAGTGATTGCATATTGTTAACATGGGCATGGCCATGTTGAGGATTCCAAGGCTTTGGTCTCATGAAACATTGGCAAAGCCAGTTCCTGATATTGGCCAAGCTCAATAAGGGCAGCCAAGGTATCCTTGGGAGTCCAAGTATGAGTATTTATGAATAACTGATCAGTGTGTAAACTGCCTTCCTCCACCTGGACATTCATACTCTCATGCTACTAGACTACAGAGACCACATAAGAAAAGCACCTAATTTATGTTGAGCTGTGCCTAAACATGTTGAGATTCTGGGTTATGGAGGTTGCAGAATCCCACCTGACCCAGATTTACTGTACTTTTACCTCTGTTGCTGTCTTTCATTCCTTTGCTGACTCAAGTCAGGATTCCAGGACCCAAGCTATGCTAGTCAAATAGATGAAGACGGAGTAATGGAACAAAGACATCCACTACTAGCATTTCTATTATTATCATAGTAGTATAACACCAAGGGTTATTAATGGATTATCTACTTTTTAAAAAAAGAAATCATGATTGCAGTATGAAGACATGACAATACATTTTATGACTAGTCCTGGTTAATCATGAATCAATTTCCTGGAAAGGGAAATATAAACAACCATGTGAGCCTCTGGATTTAAATTTAAAGGTTTGGATTGTAGAATAACAATGCTGTGCTAGAAAATGTTATTTGTATATCCTCAGAAAGATAATGTTTACCATTTTCTTCTCTGACCCTAATAGGCAGTTTTGAAACTAATCCTGGATTGTGATGAACAGGAAACCCTGGTTCAGTCATGATCCCCTGAGAGTCAGCTGTCCAAAAGAACATTCAATACTGAAGCCATTTACTTAATGGAAGGACAGTGATTTGAAACTGGAACTCAAATCAGAGTATTACTAGTACCCATATCCTGAAGTTATGAGTTCAAGCATTGGGTATTGAGTGCACAGCATATAGTAGGCAAGCAGGTTTGTTTGCATTGCACTCTGCATTTTTGGTCAGTGATAAAATAAATACCATCTCCTATATAAATAACTCTAAATTAGCATCTTTCAATTACAGTGTTTTAAATGTATTCATTGTAGCTCTGTTAAAAAGCAGCATGTCAGCCGGGCGTTGGTGGCGCATGCCTTTAATCCCAGCACTAGGGAGGCAGAGGCAGGTGGATCTCTGTGAGTTCGAAGCCAGCCTGTTCTACAGAGCTAGTTCCAGGACAGCTTCCAAAACAATACAGAGAAACCCTGTCTCGAAAAACCAAAAAGAAAAAAAAAGAAAAAAGCAGTATGTCTTCTACTAAGGAAGTACCTTATATTTCATGAAGAAAATACACTAAGGAAACCCTTGTAACATAAAACATATTGCAATTTTAGCTGAATGGGTCATAGTTATTATCAATTTTTCTATTACTTTTATCTAAAAATATTTGTGTGTATGCCCAAATGTATCTTCCCCATGTAGTTATTGCATATCAACTTCATGATTATGTGAGTGATGTGGCAGAGACAACCATTTGCAACTAAAGATCGGACTAAGAGGTCTTAATTATTTCAAAACTCAAATATTTCTGTGAATATTGTGAAAAAATATTTTCACACATAAAGTATGATCATATACAATTTCCTATCATTTTAAGTATACTCAAAATTAAGAATATATTTATTTGAAACCATGGTTCTTCAGTGATCCTATTTTGTTCATGCTGTGGTATAATAAATCAAATGGGGAGCTAGAGAGATGGCTCAGTGGTTAAGAGCACTGACTAGTCTTCAGAGGACCCGGGTTCAATTGCCAGCACCCACATGGCAGCTCATGACTGTAACTACAAGATCTGACACTCACAAAGACATACATGCAGGCAAAATACCAATGCACATAAAATAAAAATAAATATTTTTAAAAAAGAAAAAATGAAGTGGGGATGTTTCCATTCTCATGACCAAAATATATTCACTTAAATCAGTACACATTCAATACTCAGTCACAATCAGCAAAAAATCACCTTACATTTCACTAAATATATTACTGAAACAAAAGAAAATTCTGAAGAAAAAGACTTCAAGAAAGCTAAATCCAAGACACTCTGTATGACTGTGGTTCAGTTTCATACTCTGCCCTTATTTGTTCTCAATATCCTCAGAGAACCTTCAGCTGTGCTATCCATACATATCATATAGATATCAGAGATATCCACATATCTTGGGGTCACATGCTCTTTGACATACACAGTGTTTAGTTCTCATGTCCTGTCAGGAATGTATATTCTGAAAAATCTTTGTTTCCAAAACTAAGTTCTGGACCAAATTCGGCCTTTGAGTAACAATTTGCCACTTATATGACTGTTGCCTTGCTTGTTTGCTCCACACCTTGGACACTTCCATGTTCACAGAATATATAGCATTTTACCCCTAATAAACCATCACAATCCTAATATATATGAGACACTGGGCTCAATGTTGGTAAAGGCACTTCCTAGCAAGACTGATGACCAGAGTTTGATCCACAAATTAACCTGATGGATGGAGAGGTCAAATATCTCAGGCATGTGTCTACATGTGATGATATATTGTTTATGATCTAGTAATGCCACTGAAGATCAGACTGCAAAGCCAGTCACACTGGGCAGTCATAGAATCTGGGTGGGGGTGGCACACACCTTTAATACCAGGACTCAGAAGATACAGATGGATCTCTGTGAGTTCCAGGACACCCAGGGCTACATGAAAGTGAATCAGTCTAAAGAAAAACAGATCTTTTGCCTTTAAACCCAGCATGAGAGAGAGATATAGAGAGGAAGACCAGGGTCTCATGCTGTATCCAGTCTTGGGGAAATTAGTCTCCCAGCCATTCTAAAGATAGGATCTCCCTTCCTTGGTAGAGGTAAAGGCGCTCTGGTGGCTTGGATGATTTGTTTCTTGAACTTCAGCTTTAACCTCAATATCTGTCTCTGGGTTTTGTTTGTTTGTTTGTTTGTTTGTTTGTTTTTGGCTTTACAAGACAGGGTTTCTCTGTATTGTTTTGGAGGCTGTCAGTCCAGCCCAGCCTCGAACTCACAGAGATCTGCCTACCTCTACCTCCTGAGTGCTGGGATTAAAGGTGTTCACCACCACTGCCTAGCCTGTCTCTGGGTTTTTATTATCCATGTAACATCTACATGTACCCACAAATACAAAGCAAAAGATAAATAAACATACTAAATTTTCCTTAAATCTAGAACATAAAGGCTATTTATACTACACCCACAAATCTGTAAAGTTGTTCTTTACTCTAATGAAATTTCAATAGTCATCAATATGAAACATTTTTTTGGTTTTTTGAGGACAGGGTTTCTCTGTGGCTTTGGAGGCTGTCCTGGAACTAGCTCTTGTAGACCAGGCTGGCCTCAAACTCATAGAGGTACGCCTGCCTCCGCCTCCCCAGTGCTGGGATTAAAGACATGCTCCACCAATGCCCAGCAAAATCAAATATTTCATAGAGCTCTGAAGATAAGGATCATAGCTAAATTCTAAGGAGTACCAAGGCTGTGTACCATGATTAATATGAGATTACCTCAATTACATATCTCTTCTTGAATATTTCCATTACTATTCTAATTGTGACATGTTCAGATTCAATACTAAGTGACAGTGTCAATTATGTGCAGTGCCTGACTTACTCTGAATTTGTAATATAAACACCATCTCAAAGCAAGAATTTGATCTTCCTCTTGTCTCTATGAATGGGATACTTACCAATATGGTTAAATGTTTCCCATGTTACAAGTTATTTGATATGCATCAGGTAAACAGGCCGGCTTCCCGGCCTGTGTTCCAGTGCCTGCAGATCGCCTGGGAACTGCACAGAGCTCCCAATCCTGGCGGGAGCCAAGCACCCCAGACCCCAGATCTTCTCTCCCACCATCGAGACCAGGAAACGAGAGGAGCCTGGGAGTCCAGGGAAGTAGCTATCCCTCAGGCAGCATCAGGTAAACAGGCCAGCTTCCCAGGCTTTGTTCCAGTGCCTGCAGATTGCCTGGGAACTGCACAGAGCTCCCAATCCTGCGGGGAGCCAATCACCCCAGACTCCAGATCTTCTCTCCCACCAATGAGACCAGGAAATCAGAGGACCCAGGGAGACCAGGGGAGTAGCTGTTCTGGATCAGATACAACAGGACCCAGCATAGGATCCAGGGCACCAGGTAGGAGGTTAAGTGCCCCAGATTCCTGTTCTTCTTCTCCACCCATGGGACCAGAATTTGGACAAGGAATAGA